ACGAAGGATGAGTTCTACCAAAAGCTGTCTAGTTTGCTGCGAAAGGCTAAACGCTCAGATATTGTCGTTTTAGCTGGTGACTTTAATGCTCAAATAGGGAAATTGCGTCAATCTGAGAAGAATGTCGGTGGCACATACGGAATTCCGTGCCAGCGAACCGACAACGGTGACCGTCTCCTACAGCTCTGTTCAGATAATCATTTGTTTCTTGTAAGCACTAACTTCAAACACAAGGACAGACACTGTTTGACTTGGCGACCTCCATCATCAAATCAACGCTGGACACAAATAGACCACATAGCAATAAGCTATCGTTGGCGTGGGTCGGTAGGAGATTGCCGCTCCTTCTGGAACACGTGTGTAGATACCGATCACGCACTGGTCCGCGCTCGTGTGTGCTTACGACTGAACGGATGTAGGAAACAGCTAGCGGTAAACCCATCACGTTCCCAGCTCGATCAGGAAACTAAGTCCCTATTTGAGGAAGAACTAGCTAAACACATATCTGAGTTCGACAGCTGCGCTCACCCTGAAGAAGCCTGGAAGAATATTCAGTCAGCCATAGATACAGCTGTAAAAGCTGTGAATAAGGTAAATCCAAAGGTGAGTAAAAACCATTGGATTTCGACTGCCTCATCCGAACTGATAGATGCTAGAAGACTTATTCCGGCGAGCTCCGAATTCAATGAGGAGCGAAAGCTGCACAAAAGGAAACTTACGAAAAGTCTCCGCAAGGACCGTGAACAGTGGTGGTTGACAAAGGCGAAAGAGATGGAAAAAGCATCGGCGATAGGCAACACCAGACAACTATTCAGGCTTATCAGGGAAACAGGTGGTAAAAGGTAAATGATAAGCGAAACAATCTCTGAGAAAAATGGTACCATAATTAGCTTCCAGGATAGACGTCTGGAGCGCTGGAAAGAACACTACGAGGAGCAGTTTAATTGGCCAACATCCACACTTGGCCTGCCGGACATCCAACACCTCCCTGAATGGGATATAGACACAGGTCCTCCGTCCCTAACTGAGGTTACTAGAGCAGCCACTAATCTGAAGCAAGGCAAAGCAGCGGGACCTGATGGATTGACTCCAGAGGTGTTTAGGGATGGCAGCGACAGTTTACTGTCTGCGTTAACTGAGGTCCTAGGCAGCGTCTGGGAATCAGAGGAATTCCCATCGGGTTGGTGTAAGTCACTGATCATCCCGATACACAAGAAGGGAGACAAGTCTTCCTGTCATAATCACAGAGGAATTAGCTTGACTGATATAGTATCCAAAATCCTAGGCTCAATAATACTGCGTAGACTAAGTGGTGCTCGGGAGACACAAACACGAGAAAACCAGGCAGTCTTTAGGCCAGGTAGAGGGTGTATTGATCATATCTTCACCCTTCGACAGATCCTAGAACATAGGCATTCCTACCGGCGTCCGACAATCATTATATTTCTTGACCTAAAGGCGGCATTTGATTCTGTCGACCGTGAGGTTCTCTGGCGATGCTTGGCTGTAAAGGAAATGCCGAGAAAATACATTGCACTGATTAAGGCACTCTACTCGTACTCATCCAGCCAGGTGAGGGCTTATGGCGATTTGTCTTCTGAAGTGGTGACGACTAGTGGCGTCCGTCAAGGATGCCCATTATCCCCATTCCTATTCAACTTCATCATAGATCTACTAATGGACTTAACCCTAACACACTTCAGCGACTCAGGGATTGACTTGCTACCAGGGAATAATCTCGTTGACTTAGAATATGCGGACGATATAGTCCTTCTAGGCGAGGACTCTGACAAAATGCAGAGTCTACTGAACACCTTCAGCTGCAATCTAAGAATGTTTGACATGCGATTCGCCCCTGTGAAATGTAAGATGATGCTGCAGGATTTGACTTCACCGACCCCTAGATTAGAAATAGGAAGTGAAGTGGTAGAGCACGCTGACCGCTTCACTTACTTTGGAAGTACCATCAGCCAGTGCCAACAGGTTGATCTCCGACGAAATCTCAGCACAAATACAGAGGGCTCGTTTCGCATATGCCAGTTTACGCCGTCTCTGGCGTAGACGTGATACCCGACTATCGACCAAAAGGGCGTGTGTAAGGCGCATCAGTACGCTCCGTCCTCTTTTATGGCTGTGAGACCTGGCCATTGAGAGTGGAGGACATGAAGAGGCTATATGTCTTCGATCAAAGGTGCCTGCATTCTATCTCCCGTGTGAAGTGGTATAATAAGGTGAGCAATATTGAGGTTAGGCTTTAGTCGAGTGCTAGGTAAGTATTGAGGGGAAATCAATCGACGAGGCTGTGAAATTACATCGACTGAGATGGTAAGGACATGTGTTACGCATCAATGCCTAGTCATCACCTTCCTCGACGGGAAATGTTAGCTGATATAGGGCCAGGCTGGAAAAGAGCTAGCGGTGGTCAAACGAAAACATGCCTTCACCAGTCAATGAAATCTACAACAGTTAGTCTAAGCCAGTCACGTAGGAAGGTGTAGACTTTGTGGTTGGGATCCTCGGGACGGTAAAAACCAATGGTTGGAAACAATTGGTGACATGGCTCAAAATCGTTCTCAATGGCTGGTGCAGATGCATCCACTCCTTGTGACTTATGATTTCCGATGAAACTGTTCGTTCTTCGTTATTACTACTCCTTTGTCTCACACCTCTGTTTACTGTCTGTAATATGCATTTCTCCTACTTTCTTGTGTTGCTTTGTGTGCTACAAGGAGGGAGTGTGGCGACTTGAACTGCCGCACATCAGTGCAAAGTTATATGTCGAAAACAGACAGAGAGACAGCTGATATAGGTGCAGGTTCGAAAAGAGTAAGCGGTGGCCAAACAAAAACATGGCCTCATCTATCCATGAAATCCCTGACAGTTAAACTGAGTCATTTAGGGAGATGCAGACTTCCGGGTTGGGGCCCGCCCTCGGGACTCTAAGAATCAATCACTGGCTGGAGACAATAGGTGACATGGCTCAAAATCGTTGTCAATGGCTTACGCAGATGTATTCAGTCTCTGTAATCTTTCATATTCCTTTCCACCATTACTCATTCTGTTTCACTCCTACACTTGTCAAAACTCTATTGATTCTCTTCATCACTCATTTTCTTGTCTACGTTTGTGTGCTATTTGGAACGTGGCAACTCGAACTGCTGCACATCGGTGCCAAGTTCTATGTTAAATCCAGGAGCAGCAGCAGCACTCGACTAAAGCCTGACCTCAATATTGCTCACCTTATAATACCACTTCACACGTGAGATAGAACGCAGACACCTATGATCGAAGACAGCGAATATTTTCATGTCTTCCACTCTCAATGGCCATGTCTCACAGCCATAAAGGAGGACGAAGTAGACTGATGAACAGTACACACGCCCTTTCGTCGATAGTCGGATATCACGTCTACGCCAGAGACGGCATAAACTGGCATATGCGAAACTAGTCCTTTGTATTCGTGTTGGGATTTCGTCAGCGATCAACCCACTGGCACTGACTGATGGTACTTCCGAAGTAAGTGAATCGGTCAACGTGCTCTACCACTTCACTTCCTATTTCTAATCTAGGAGTCGGTGTAGTCCAATCCTGTAACATTATCTTGCATTTTGAGGGAGCGAATCGCATGCCAAACATTCGTAGATTGCTGCTCAAGGTGTTCAGAAGACTCTGCATTTTGTCAGCGTCCTCGCCTAGAAGGGCTATATCGTCTGCATATTCGAAGTCAACGAGATTATTCCCTGGTAGCAGTGACTGACTAATATTGAACGATTCCTGGAGCACCTTGTTAGCATTATTGTTATTGATTTATTATTAAATCGCTAACTTTGGTACCTTATAGGCTCCACACAAAATCGCACAGTTTGTGTGAGGACTGGGAAGTACCATCAGCCCCAACGGGTTGATCTCCGACGAAATCTCAGCACGAATAAAGAGGGCTAGTTTCGCATATGCCAGTTTACGCCGTCTCTGGCGTAGACGTGATATCCGGCTATCGACCAAAGGGTGTGCGTACTGCTCAACAGTTTTGTCCGTCCTCCTTTATGACTCTCGGTAAGACATGGCCTTTAAAAGTGGAAGATATGAAACACCGGTTAGCTATCTTTGATAATGGGTGCTTGCGTTCTATCTCCCGTGTTAAGTGGTATAAGTGGGTGACCAATATTGGGGTTAGATGTCGAGTGCTAGGTAAGGAGGGTAAATCATTCGACGAGGCTTTGAAGTTACTTTCATTGGATTAAATGGTTAGGACATGTGTTGCGTATGCCTGGTTATCGATCGCCTTCCTCGACGGGCAATATTAGCTGATATAGAGCCAGGTTGGAAAAGAGCAGGTGGTTGTCAAACCAAAACATGACCCCATCAGTCAATGAAATCTACAACAGTTAGTTTAAGCCAGCCATGTAGGAAGGTGTAGACTGGCTTCCTAGCAGATACATCCACTCCTTGTCACTTATAATTTCCAATGAAACTATATTGTTCTTCGATATTACTATTCTTTTTGTTTCAAACATCTGTTTACTGTCTCTGTTTTGCATTTCTTCTACTTTCTTCTCTTGCTTTATGTGCTACAAAGAGGGAGTATGGCGACTGAAACTACTGCACATCGGTGCAAAGTTCTATGTTGAAACCAGTCAGTCGGTCATGTCAGCTAAGACTACCCATCGAAGAAGCCTATCGATGACTAGACATGCATGCGCAACACATGTCCTAACCATCTAACCCAAACGATTTAACCTCACAACCTAGTCGCGATTGACTTTCCTTTCCCGTGTAACACTCGACCGAAGCCTAACCACCTCAATATTACTCACCCTATTATACACCTACCATCTAACATGCAAGATAAGACGCCGGCACCTATGATCAAAGACAGCTAGCCAGGCTTTTCATGTGTTTTATGTATATATTAATTGAATAACTTTTATTGTGATAATTGTAATGTAATTGTAATGTCTTTCTTCTTTCCTTCCTTCCCTTCTTTGTATATGTAACTTTAGCGCCTCGATTACAACCAGGCGGTGCTACATTGAATGGACATTTGAATATTGTCACACAGTCATCATCACCGTTTGTAAATTTCACTGCAATCTGTGATACAGCTGCTTTAACTTTATCTCAGGATAGTAGCCCATTAATACTGTATCTGTTATTACATCGTAATACAAATTTTCATACATTTATTATGCAAGACAGAGGATATGAAAAATTGGTAAGTGGATTGTTACACTATCTCTTGTCTCTCTTACACAACATATAGTTGGGGGATGATGGTCGGTTTTGTCTTCCCACGTGTGCGTGTGTGTGCGTGCGTGCATGCGCGTGTGTGTTTATTGATTTCAGGTGTAATTCATGTCTTCCAAACTATTCACGCAATATAACATACACATGTATGGTTGCATAATCTAAGCTTTGACTGTTACCACTCTGGCCGGCTGGCTGGATTCAACATAGAACTTGGCACCGATGTGCAGCAGTTCGAGTTGCCACGTTCCAAAGAGCACACACAAAGGTAGACAAGAAAATGAGTGATGAAGAGAATCAATAGAGTTTTGACAAGTGTAGGAGTGAAACAGAATGAGTAATGGTGGAAAGGAATATGAAAGATTACAGAGACTGAATACATCTGTGTAAGCCATTGACAACGATTTTGAGCCATGTCACCTATTGTCTCCAGCCAGTGATTGATTCTTAGAGTCCCGAGGGCGGGCCCCAATCCGGAAGTCTGCATCTCCCTACCTGACTCAGTTTAATTGTCAAGGATTTCATGGATTGATGAGGCCATGTTTTTGTCTGGTCACCGCTCTCCTACTTATTCAGACCATAAGAGAATGTAGAAGCAACAAATGTATGTAAGAGTTGCCTAATTGCAACAGTTTTCCAACTCACTTATACAGATGATATCGTCCTACTAATACGATAGTATGCAGAGTGTCCAAATTGTACTTAATCAGTTAGCGATCAGTGCCCATTAGTAATGGTAATGTACTTTGCATCGTCTAATGACAAAGTAGTTACAAGATTGGCAGGAGCCTGCATATTTGCACTCACTCTTGCAAGTGAACCGCTTGAAGTTGTTGATAAGTTCGTGTATTTAGTTGGTTGTGTAAGTGCTGGTGGAGGAGGTGTGATGGACGGATGAGATTTCCAATTGTATCATGAAAGCTAAGGTGGTATACGCCAATTTCTGCCATCTTTGACTGCATCGCGACGTTATCGTGGCTGTCGTAGGTGAGGTTTACAATGCTTCGTTGCGCGTTGTCTTGTTCTACACTTGTGAGACCTGGACACTTCATGCTGAGGATGTGAAGTTACTGCGCGTATTCCATTACCGCCATATTCGACGGTATCAGCATGTGAATAATTCTGGGGTCCGATGGCGTGTGTTTGGACACAGTGGTGATCGCCATTCGTTGAGTGTCATCGTGATCTGGAAACGCCGACTTCGGTGGCTTTGACGTGCTCTAGGAATATCAGGCTAAAGGCTTCCGTATCCGTCTATGTTCGTTAGCCCTGGGACGGTATAGGAAATGGTGGATAGGTGGTCAGTCTGTAATGTGGCGTCGTGGAATGAAAGTTATTTATTTTAGGCTAGCACTGTTTGATGCATCACAACTCCCTGTTTGGAGTCTGAGAGGTAGTTCAAAACGATGGCTGGAAACGTTACCAGCTATGACCGAGAATCGCAATCAGTGGCGAACATCATGCTACAATTTACTTTCTCCTTTTTCTATGAAAGTAACATAAAGTGATGAATATTGAGTGATGTTAACAAGTATGCTTGCTTGTTTTCTGGATGACGTCCCTCATATATATGTTGTTGTTTTGTTGGGTGATCCACAACGGAAAACTGAGTGAAACCTTTGAAGTGAATACAGAAGTTAGACAAGGCTGTTTACTATCACCCACGATGATATTCCTCAGTGTAGTGAGCTATATCATGTGGAAGACTGTAGGGAGCGAAAAGAGAAGAGTATGCACTGGACCGATGAGAAGATTCTAGAAGATATCTAGATTTCACGCGTCGATGATTTATTTCTCATGTCACACAGACTAGGAGATGTACAAGAGATAAAAACCAACGAACTGATAGAAGAGGCAGTCAAAGAAGATAGGACTGCCTTCAAGTGAAAGAACATAGTTAAGACAGAGGTGATGGAGATAACCAACTAACACAACATCAGCAAGAACCAATCTCTATAAAAGGGAAGAATTTGTAGCAGACCACCACTTTCATATTTTTAGGCAGCTTGGTTTCAAGTACAGGCGACAAGAAGGAATATTATTATTATTGTTTCCTTTAATTCCTAGAGGAACATAAAGCTTCAGCCGTGCGTCTCCATTGCGTTCGGTTCTCTGCTAGAGTCTTCACCTGGCTCCAAGTCTGCCCACATGCTTTCATCTCCTCTTCACATGACCTCCTCCAAGTCACCCTTGCACTGACGACCAACTGACTCACCGCTTCCCTTTCGGGTCCCACTCGAGCGATGGCTTGTCTAGTGATGTCAGTTGATGGTTTCCTCAGAGTATGGCCAGCCAATCCATCTCCATTTCCTCCTGCCTATTTGTTTCACAATCGGTTGGTTCCTGCTGTGTTGGTTCGCTCATTTCCAGAGATCTCTGTTGCTGATCTTTTCTGGCCGGCCATCTGATCTTGAGTATTGAGCGAAGACAAGGCTGTATACAATCACCCACGATGATATTCCTCAGTGTAGTGAGCTATATCATGTGGAAGACTGTAGGGAGCGAAAAGAGAAGAGTATGCACTGGACCGATGAGAAGATTCTAGAAGATATCTAGATTTCACGCATCGATGATTTATTTCTCATGTCACACAGACTAGGAGATGTACAAGAGATAAAATCCGACGAACTGATAGAAGAGGCAGTCAAAGAAGATAGGACTGCCTTCAAGTGAAAGAACATAGTTAAGACGGAGGTGATGGAGATAACCAACTAACACAACATCAGCAAGAACCAATCTCTATAAAAGGGAAGAATTTGTAGCAGACCACCACTTTCATTTATTTAGGCAGCTTGGTTTCAACTACAGGCGGCAAGAAGGATAAGGATGTGGGAACCCACCATGACCGGAATGGGCAAGGCACACACCTTTATCACTCTGAAATCAGTTTTTGGAAATCTTCTGCACTCCACCTCAGCATAAAGAACGTGATTCGGATTTTCAGCAATAGTATTAAGTCAGACAGTCAGCTGTTCTATATGAGTCAAAAACTTGGCCAGCACATCACAGAAAGCATTTCCAACGAGCTTACTGAAGACTTTCACCAACAGTTGCTTTCTTTGGCTCCGTACTGAAGATCAGACAGGTGGCGAGAAAGAATTAACATTAAAAAAAACTATGCAAGAAACAAACCAGCCAAGAGCCGATTGCTCAACATAGATGTGTCGAAGAAAATGGCGATGGATTGTGCACACGCTGAAGAGACCGTCGAATGCCATTGTGCACAATGCAATGCAGGTCATCGCTTGAGTGGAACCCCAATGGGAAACGACAAGTTAGAAGTGTGTCCGAGGTGGTGACATGGAGGAGATTACGCGAGGAGGGAATGAGAGATTATGGGTAGTCTTGGAGCCAGCTAAAGAGGGCAGCAGAGAATAAAACAATGTATAGATGTTTTGCTGAAGCCGTATATTCCACTCGGAACCCAAGAAGACAATAATAATAATAATCTCCCTTGTTGTTATTGGTTGTTTAACTGATGTCAGTTTGTAGAGTTTAATTGATGGATGGTGACTGCCAGCAGTGGAATCCAGGATAACGCGCATTTCGTCCTATTTGGGACTCGTCTTGTAGCTGGATGTGCCTGCATTCCCGAGAGAGTGAGTGAGTGGTGGTTTTCCCACTGGTGAGGCTCGAACCCAGTGCCCATAGTTAGAAACGCCAAAGCGTTATCCACGAGAGCCACCTCCTGTGCAACGGGTCATATTAATTATTTTATTGCATTTTAGATTTTCCCGTTGATTTCCTTTGGACCGAAGTTCTTGGTCTCAGGTTGACATGTCGGCTTCTAATTACATGTCCAGACATCTTCGAAGCATCTGCATAAGAAGTCGACATGTCAACCTGAGACCGAGAACTTCGGTCCAACGGGAATCGACGGGAAAATCTAAAATGCAATTAAATGATGTCAGTTTGTAATTTAATTAGACTTATATGAATCTTCTTCCTTACCTATATGTTCTCTTGCCTATATTTTTCAGCTTCCACCCTTGTTAAATATTCTTTACAAATCTCAATCACACAATTCACATCTTGTTTATATGGCGTTAATTTTGCTGCTTATATTTACGGAGAATGAACAATTTGGACGAGATATACACACAACAGTGAGTTAATTAATTTTGACCGAAATTTATTTATTTATTTATTTTATTGTCGTTACTTAATACAACTTACTGATCCGGTGTAGACTTATTTATGTGCTCTACTGTAGGAGCTACACTTATTCATTCGGCCTCAATTAGGCAAAACAAGATTTGAGGCCATCGGGACACATACCTGTTTGACAGTGAGGCAGCGGTCATCCTAATAATCCATATCTACTTAAATCTAATCTATTTTCTTTTTATTGGATGAAGGATTTCATCTTGGGCTGTGACATCAAGCTAATCATGATGAAATCCTCCATCCAATCAAACTAACCTGATGCTCACTAGCGACTGGCCGTATTCAGGCAGTGACCTGGGGTTCTAGCGGGAAGCCGTTATCAGTAGGGTAGAGCAGGTTGAAGATGAGACAGTAACTCATCGAAGAAGACATTGCGAAATGGTCGCGCTATGTCGTGAATTCATGGCAGAAGTTAGAATTCATGGGATGGCCATTGGATCGGATTAGTGACGTTTCGAACAAGCTTTCTCGGTTAAAGGATCCTGTAGAGCCTTTAAAACAGAACAATTTACTTTATCTAATACCCTGCAATGATTGTCAGGTCAAATACATAGGTCAAACTAGTAGAACAAGGGCAATCAGACTAGCTGAACATAAAAACTTAGCAAAATCTAGATTGGTTGATCCAAATAAGATAAGAAATCTAGAGAATAGGTCAGCTATAGCACTACATGCAGTTACACACAACCATACAATAGGATGGGATAGGATGACAGTTTTAAAATCTAATGTCACAGGGTATAGGGAGAGATTGATAACGGAAGGTTTGTTTATCGAGTCAACTGTAAATACGTGTAACAGGGATGACTAAACACCTGTCCTGCCGGATCTCTGAAAAATTCTACTACCCCAACGACGACAAATCGGAGAGAACAAAGGAAACTATAAAACTCAAGTTTCAAAGTCGTGTGATTACAATTGATATGATTATGAACAATAAATTTTGTTCGAAACGTCATCCAGTAAATAATACTGTTTCACTGTGTGATATATCTAATAAACAAACTAATATGGAATGATTTTAGTTTACATTAAACAACATGAAATAGAATGTTCAAATGCATATTTGTAGTATTCTGTTGCTAATGCAGTACTGAACTGTGGGAATATGTGAGAATAATAATATTCCGTTGGAATCCATTGTCTGTATCACACAACCAAACTGTCTCTCCGCTATTTGATATTTTTGCTTCCCTATGAACGTCTCTCTTTATATACTACTGATAAATCTTGTCAGTAGTAGCACACTCCATAGTAGTAATTAACGTAATGAATAACCCTTCTTATATAAATGTAATATCTGTTTATTTAGGAGATTAAATGGGTTCAATGGTCAGCTAATCGTCGACTATCAAATGTGTCCTACGGAAGTTTAACTGTTCTAGTACTATGTCGTACAATTCAATATCATTTGAATCAATTAAAAGTGAGTAGTAATAGCAGTGTGTGTGTGTGTTTATGAGTGTGTGTTCATTTTGAGTTCTCTGAATATAACCTCATAATCGTGATTGCCCTCAACTAATCATAATCATAATCACATTGATGTGCGTAATAATGTCATACCGATATTAAAGTATCACTCGTGAGTGATGCATTAGAAGAAGAAGAACTTAAGCGCTTTTTTTTCAGGGCATACTTTCACGTCAGGTTTTGTTTGTTTACTCAATATAGATGAATGCTCAAGTTGATTACGTAATAGGTAATGAAAGATGAAATAGTTGGAGGAGTAAATTAATTTGCCTCCAAAGCCTCAGGATGGTCGGGGGTGGGTGCCTTGCCCTGCGGGTTGGCCACCCCTCCGCACACCTCTTGAAATGCTCCCATATGACCGGGCGTCTTACATAGCCTCTCTTGAGGAAGTCCTACTCACTGCCTTCACGTGGCGGAGGTATTTTTCACCAAAGTGAGAGGGCGAAGCGGATGCCCGGCGCTCTTCACCTGGTTGACTGTCCATTGGATGACAGTCTAGGGGAGATGGCTAAACCCTGATTCGAAACCTCCAACGACTGGCGTATGAAGCTCACTGGAGCTCACCGGCAGACGTATGGACAAAGGGCTTGTTGGATGTCCTAGATGTCTGGCCCCATTCTAAAAGGCGTATGAACCGAACTCGGGTCACCGGTTGCCAATGGATAGTGGACTCCTTACTCCACTCCTACTGCCTTGTAGGTCACACTTGGTTGTGTAAAGGCTAGAGCTGCACTCTCAAACAAAAGGCCGAGCGATTCTGGGGACATCACTGGTACCAAATTCCCATGAAACTTCATGAACTCTTGTTCATGAAGCCGGCTCATCCTCCCGTAGGAGATAGCCGAAGTAAAGTAAAAGTAAGTAAATTAATTTGGACAATGATAACTTGTAAAGGATTTAGAGGTGGTGGTGGTGGGGGGGGGGCGGGTCGAATTTCATCTGAACACACAGAAGTGTTTAACTTCTTCAGTTGGATTCTGATGGCCTCACAGTTAGCTAGCTAGCTGTATGCAACAGATGAACCTCATAAAGCAAAATTAATCTAGATCGGAATACGATAAATAACTTTGAAATGCTTTTTTTTCCTTCACGTTCCCCAGTGGAACATAGGGCGCCTTCAAGCTAGTGGCTTGAAGTTTCTGTAGCAGTGTTTATTTTACAGGATGGGGTTGCTAGCTAGCCTCATGCCCCACCTTTCCTCTTCACCACCAGCATTATTTCTGGTTTAGCGAGATAAAGGAGTGTGTTGGTGGCCGGGGATCGAACCCCGGACCATGTGCATGGTCGGCGAGCGTCCTAACTGCTATGCCACCGACACACGAAATGCTTTATCAACATCAAATCTATGCTCACTGTCTACAGAGGTGTGCTGAAATAGAGCTACGAATAAATCTTGTTTTTTTTTGCTTAACCATGCCGGTTGATGTTCGAAAATGCAATGATGAACCTGGCTAATTGTACACACACACACACACCGTACTCTTCTAAGTTTTAGAAGATGGAATAAAGTATTGTAACAATAGAAGACAAGGGCCAGGCAACAGGTCGTTTATTAAGAAATCACTACATATTTATAGATTTTCATGTGCATTATTATAGATTATTGTAAGCAAACAAACACAGTCTTCTGATTGGTGGTTTCTCGTTGAACGTTTATCTTTCATCTCTTTGTGGCCGTTTCTTTGAAGGTCAGATTATCTATCTGCAAATTGTATCCGCCTACGCAAAGGCTGCTGTGATTGATTATTGAGTCAGTCTTTGTTCTTATTTTTCTCATGACCAGTATTGGGGACGTAAACATTGACGTAAATTACTGACTACCAATTTGGCTAGCAGCCAGCTCTCACCACAGTATTATCCCATCCTATAATTATGGTTATGGTCTCACTGTATGCATTGCACTGTCCGGTCAATGTGTCTATCATTACACGTTCCTGCTAGGGCAGGTCAGTAGTGTAATCCTAATAACTTGACCAGCACAACATTGTATGACTCTTGTTCAAATTTTCGAATACTTTTCAAGATATTCAAAGAATATATTTGTTTGTATAAATCTTAACGAAACGGAAGTAAGGTAGGTATTCTAAGGTTTCGTTCGATAAACTGATCCGAACTTTTTCCATGATCTCTCCAATAAATATAAACTAATATGCAGTTACTTACACTACTCTATACAGTGTCCAAGTCTTGCACACACACACGACTTTTCGAACACATCAACTGGAAGGTGGAGGCAATTCAATTCACTTATGAATTGGTAAGTCAAGAAGGGGAGCTTTCAATGTTAGATTGTAGCGTAAAAAGGAAAGAAGATGGGAAGTTATACATTAGTGCATTTAAGAGGAATCCACACATTCAAGTGGATATTTGGATTTCTGATCATCCCACCTTGTCTGTGTCAGTAAAAATAGTAGGATTAGTGAAATGTTTAAGTGACAGTAGGGCACAAAAATTGAGTAGTAACAAGGAAAATCTAGGACAGGAAGTGAGGCATATAAGAGAAGCTTTGAAACTTAATAATTAATTACCCTGATAAATTAATCAGGAAGTATGTAGGAAGACGTAAAGAATAAAATTAATAACAATAATAATCGCAGTGATAGTAATATTAATGACGATATGCATGTAAAACATGCACAGGATAATGACAACACCAACAATAGGAAATATAAGTCACCAGTAGTACTTCCATACAAAGAAGGAACCTCGGAAACCTTACGGAGACTTCTTAACGAAGCAGGCAGTAATATAAGTGGTTGGCATTCAAACCACCCACAAACTCAATTAGAAACAAGCTTTGTCGGTTAAAGGATCCTGGGAAGCCAATTAAACAAAACAATTTAGTTTATCTAATACCCTGCTATAATGATTGTCAGGTCAGATACATAGGTCAAAGTAGTAGGATGGGGGCTAGTCATATTGTGGTGAGAGCTGGCTGCAAACCAAAATTGTAGACAGCAATTTACTTCAACGTTACTTCCCGAATCGGGGTCATGGAAAAAACAACAATAACAAAGCTTTACCTTGAGGAACTCACCAACCGATCACAGCAGACTTAATGTGTGCAAATAGGATTAGCAGATGTATGGCTTAACTTTCTGAGAAATGGTCACAAGCAGTACAGATTAACCTTCAGCAGGGAAACAACCAATCAGAAGACGTTGCTTCTCGGCTAACAATGATGTAAATAAAAATCTATAAGTATCAGTTGATTTTCTCAATAAACGATCTGTTGCCTGGCCCTTGTCTTCTGTCGTTATAATACCAGTCGAGAATCACAAAATGCTTGCAAAATCTAGATTAGTTCACCCTACTAATAAAAGCATTCTGGAGAGTAGTTCAGCCATAGATAGATAGCACTACATCTAATTAAACACAACCATACAAATAGGATGGCATAGGATGACAGTTTTAAAATCTAATGTCACAGGGTGGAGGGAGAGATTGATAACGGAAGCTTTGTTTATCGAGTCAACTGCAAACACGTGTAATAGGAATGATTCAACACCTGTCCAGCCAGATATCTGGAAAATTCTACTACCCCAACGACGACAAATAGGAGAGGACAAAGAAAACTATAAAATTCTAGTTTCGAAGTCGTGTGATTATAATTGATGAAATGATTATAAACAATAATTTATTGAATATCAATGAGATGCTCACTAGCGACTTGCCCTATTCAGGTAGGTAGTTACCTAGGGTTCCAGTGGGAAGTCGTGACCAGTAGGGCGCAGCAGGTCGGGTGTGAAGACAAATACTCGCGAAGACATTGGCTAGCGGTTGCGCTATATCGCGAATTGGCAGAAGTTAGAATTCGTGGGCCATTGGATCTGGTCCCAGTGGCTTCATGGTATACGAGCTCAGTGGCCTTGTAACCATAAGATCCTGGGTTCGAACCCCGGTGGGCGCGTACTGCTGAAGAGTCCCAAACTAGGACGAAACAGCTGTCCAGTGCTCCCAGGTTTTTCAATGGTTCTTTAACCAATGTCAGCTCATGATGAAATCCTGTAACCAATAATTGATTGTGTTGGAAACCTTGTCATCCAGTTAACAGTAATACTGTTTCCCTGTTTGTGATATATCTAATAAACAAACTAATATGGTAGTACATGTTACTATAGTGCCCAAGTTTTACCTTATTTTCATTAATCTGAGATTCTAATAATCAAGCAAAGTGGCATTAAATCCAAAACTTCATCCATCCATGTATTAGCTTACGAAGGTGTATTGATTGATTCGCTTATTTCAGTTTGCTTTCCTGTTATCATTTCTAACTATGATAATGATAACTGAATGATGGTATATACTGCTGACTAATTTATAATGAACAAAGAATACTCTCTTCCATAACCTGCTCTTCATCATCAGGCTCTACAGTTATATATACACATTATAGTGAATGAATGAATTAGTGTTATGAACAACAGTGATGTTGCTTTTTAAATAACATCGAATCAATAATAATAACATCAGTGGATTACAGTTCAATAGCACCAACATAACAATACACTGAATGAACATCAGAAAAATTAGAAAAGATAATATTACAAATTCATGAATTTATAGTCTCTACTAAAGGCCGGCCAGGGCAGTAGTAGTTGCTGGCTGGACTTGCTTCTTTTGCACACAGAGCATTGGTTGTTTCATGCAAATTGCAATAGTTTCTGCTGTTAGGAGCATGTGGTGCTTCGATGATTTTGGTAATTTATTAGGCACCCGGTAGATGATATAGGATTCTTCAACGCTGGCTGACTTTGTGGCCGGTTTGCACCAGATGGTCCAATATCGAACTGCTAATGGTTTTCACTACACCTTTACTTAGCGAAGAGGAATCTCAAGACAGAGTTGCCTTCCTGGATGTCCTACTTACAAGGAAACCAGATGGTAGCATAAAAAGAAATTTGCATAGAAAAAGTACTTGGACAGGACAATATACACATATTCACAGCTTCGTTCCTATCAAGTACAAAAGAAATTTTATAAGGAAGGACCCTCAGCCACAGAGTTACAGCTATATGCTCAGAAGAAGTAATTGAAGATGAATTAGGCATTGTATATGACACTTTGATCGAAAATAGCTATCCCGAAAAATTGATCAAGAAACACATGACAAAGAAAGCGGAAAAGGACTACTCACTATCTGTAAACAAGAAGCCACTTTATAGACGACTGCAATTCAAGGACGATATACCAAGTGAGATAATTACGAGGAAATTAAGAAAATCAGTTCAAAGAACTTTTAATGCTGGCGACCTACACGACCGATGGTGCTACGTCGACTGAAAGATGAAGTACCTAGACTAGCCACTTCAAATTGTATCTACCAATTCAACTGTGCTTGCGATGGAGCGAGTTATATTGGCCGTTGTTGCTCTAGGAACTTGATTTTTCGTGCTCGAGAACATCTCCCACTATGGCTAAGTAAAGGTGTAGTTAAATTCATTAACAGTTCGATATTGGACCATCTGGTACAAGCCGGTCACAAAGCCAGTGTTGAAGAATCCTTCTCTATAATATACCGGGTGCCTATTGCAATTCGCCTGAAACAACCAGTGCTCTGTGTTCAAAAGAAGCAAGTCCAGCCCCTTCTACTGCCCTGGCCCTCAGTAGAAACTATAAACTCATGAATTTGTAATATTATCAGTTTTCCTAATTTTTCTGACATTCAACTTATTTTATGTTGATGCTATTGAGATGTAATCTATCAACGTTATTGATTCGATGTTATTTAAACAACATTAATGTCGTTCATAGCACTAATTCATTCATTCACTATAATGGATGGATATATAACTGTAGAGCCTGATGATGAAGAGCAGGTTATCGAAAAGAGTATTCTTTGTTCAGTATCCAATCTTTTGAAAATTTTAATGCGCATTTTTTATCAGTTAATTTATATGAATAGTTGGCTACCACTCATACATGAAGCAGTACATACTGCTTGCTAGCCAGATTGAAGTGGTCTAAACACCGAATGGCTATTTCGCTCGTTTCGCGCAGAACTTATGAGTAGTGCTACATAGTGCTACTCATATTCACTTGATATGCGAGTCGGCTATTTTCTACTCTATCGTTATTGATTGAATCATTCACATCAGGGATACACAATACACAATATCAAGTACCTCTGTGCTCATTTTTGTATCCTTTTGGTATGATTGAATATTTTTCAACCGCTTGATAGAGCCTGGTATACACAATAGTCCTGATTAAATCTCAGCTTTGGACTAATTCCCAACAAATATAGTATAAAATACAGGACTCCAGGTGAACATAGACAAGACGGAAGTCATGAAAATAACCAACCAACAACAACAGCAGTGACATCCAGCGCCAACCACCATCAACCGGAGGGATTTGAAAGAGGTTACTTCATTCATTTATCTAGGGAGCATTCTGTCAACTACAGGAGGAATCGACGAGGATGTCAAATCGAGCGAGAATCGGGAAGGCGAGAAACACATTCATCAACCTGCAAAAACCAATCTGGAAATCTTCGTCACTCACTCAACCTGCATCAACAACAAAGTGATTCGGATTTTCATTACAAAACATCAAGTTAGTTCTTTTGTACGGATCACAAACTTGGCAGGTCACAAAGAATATTTCCAACAGCCTGTTGCAGACCTTTATCAACAATGACTGTCTTCGTTCTATACTGAAGATCAGATGGCCGGAAAGAACAAGAACCAACAAGAAACTATGCGAACAAACGAAACAAACAAGAAACAGTCGCCCAACTAATATGCAGGAGAATGTGGAGATGGATTGGACACTCGCTGAGGACGAAGGCCGCTGGGTGACATCGCGCGTCAGGCCAGTGCTCGAGTGGAACCCGAAAGGGAAGTGGTGAGTAGGACGTCCAAGGGTGACATGGAGGATATCGTTTGAAGAGGAGTTGAAACAGTATGGACTAACATGGATGCAGGTGAAAAGTACAGCAGAAGACAGAAGCGAGTGGAGACGTGTAGTTGAAGCATTTTGTTGCACCAGGAACCCAAGGGAACAATAATAATAATAGTATAAAATAATGTCATACCTAATATGGAAAATTCAAAAGTATAATTCCTTATAAGTTAACTAATAATCAGCTGATCAGGGCGTTACAAATCACAATGAACCACCACCAACAAGCTGCACTAGCTAGGACGAATGTTGCTGCAGGTCCTACCATGTCAGAAAGGTGGTTTAGACAGCGGTTAGGATCAAAGTTGTGTAGACTGTGTTGGTGGTCTAACGTCCAAGTTGTGTACTGTTGGCGATAAGGAGTGTTGCACAAGCCGTTAGATATTCCCCTCTCTTCTTCTCTACTCCTAAGAGGGAGTTCAGAAAAGACTGATCCCACAAATTCTACATCTTGATGTACGTTGTGGAGGTCCGTAGTCTGAAGTTAAGTTTTCTATACGAACACAACTCTAAAAATCACCGGAAACAAACAGTTGTGTAATTGGGATTTTCCGTTGAACTCTACAGTTGTCTAATACGGATACTCTCTCTCTCTCTCCCTTTGTTTCAGTTCAGTCAACTAGAAACGAAATGAAAGATACTCAAAAATTTTATATCGTTGATTTTGTGCGTTGAATTTTGCTTTGATTTTAAACTATTATTATTTAAGAACACCTCTCCCTGCTGTATAAATGAAATTCATTTTTCATTAATTTACTCTTATTATTTTTTTTATTTCATAAAAAATCTATCACACTTTAGGACAAATATCTTCATGTGAATATTTTGGCAGCTCTGGCTAACTTGTCTCCGCGGATTACTAAACTTCATCCTTATGCTTGTGATACATTGGTTAAGTAAGTGGAATGTGAATGATTTACCCCTATATTTCTTTGCTTTGACATATATATGTGGTTTCAAGTCAGCCACGTAGACAGGGAGGTGTAGACTGACTGTCTTATTGTGTGGTTGGTACTCAGAATGCTTGCCATAAACCAAGTGGTTTGCGACTGTTTTTTGTAATATGGCTTGAAATCGTTGACAGTGCCGCAGCAGCAGCAGCAGCGGGTGTATTCACTCTCTGTGATATTCTATAGAGCTATCTATTCAACCCTCATCTATTTCCATTATTATTATTATTATTATTATTCCCTTGGGTTCCTAGTGGAACATAGGGCTTCAACTGCACGTCTCCACTTGCTTCTGTCTTGTGCTGTACTTTTCACTTGCATCCATGTTAGTCCATACTGTTTCAACTCCTCTTCACACAATCTCCTCCATGTCACCCTTAGACGTCCTACTCGCCACTTCCCTTTCGGGTTCCACTCGACCACTGGCCTGACGCGCCATGTCACCCAACGGCCTCCTCAGCTCAGCGAGTGTCCAATCCATCTCCACTTTCTCCTGCATATTTGTTGGGCGATTGGTTCTTGTTTTGTTTGTTCCCATAGTTTCTTGTTGATGATTCTTTCCAGCCATCTGATCTTGAGTATAGAGCGAAGACAGTTGTTGATAAAGGTTTGAAACCTGTTGGAAATATTCTATTTCCATAGTACTATTCTTTCTCCTATGCATTTCTGCTTATGATGATAGTTCTCTTCAATCGCTTTTTTTCCTACTATTTTTCTTTTACTATAATAGAGAGAGTGTGCAATTCTGTGCAAGCTTCTACTTTGTGAAACTGTGTCAATTATTTTTTCTTTTGATTGTTTGTTTTGTTTTTGTTATTAAATTTCCCACCTTTTTGAAAAAAAATTTGTCTTTATTGTACTACACCACTCTGTATACACCAATTAGGCGAAGAGAGCGATTATACAGTTTCTCAGAAGCAGCCTCTAAAGATAGAAAGAAATTGACTGACTGACTGACTGTCTGGTTTCAACCTAGAACTTTGCACAGATTGTGCAACAGTTCAACTTGCCACAATCTCTCCTTGTAGTACACAGAGTAAGAGAAGAGGATATAAAGAGATTCAAAAGAGATAATAAACACAGAGATATGAAACAAAAAGAATGGTAATATGGAAGAACAATAGTTCTGTTGCGCATATGAGAAATCACGAAGAGTGAATACATCTGCACTTTCACTGAGGACGAGGATTTTGAGCTATATCATCAATTATCTGTCTCCACCCATTGATGTTTTTATCCCCTCGAGGACTCCAACCGGTCAGGCACTCCACAACTCCCTACGTGGCTGGCTGGCTGGCTGGCTCAAACTAACTGTTATGGATTTCATTGACTGATGAGGCCATGTTTTGGTGTTTGACCACTACTAGCTTTCTCTTTTCCAACCAGATCAATCCTATGTCAGGTAACATTGCCTGTTGTCGAGGAATGCGATGACTAGGCATGCACAACACATGTGCTAACCATCTAACTTCACAGTCTCATCGGTTGATTTCCCCTCCATGCTTACCTGACACTCGACTGAAGCCTAACCACCTCAATTGAACTCACCATATTACACCTACCACCTTACACGGTAGATATAACGTAGGGACCTATGATCGAAGACAACTAGTCGGCCTTTTCTTGTCTTCCGCTCTCAATGGTTATGTCTCGTTGCTATAAAGGAAGGCGAATTGGACTGCTGAGCAGTACACACGCCCTTTGGGCGATATCCAGACGGATATCACATCTACACCAGAGACGGCGTAAACTGGCATATATGCGAAACGAGCCCTCTGTATCCGTGCTGAGATTTCGTCAGTGGTCAACCCGTTGGCGTTGGCTTGTGCAACTTCCCAGGTAAGTGAGGGGGTCAACACACTCAGCCACCACTTCACTCCCTATTTCTAAGCTAAGAGTTAATGTAGATCAGGCTTGTAGCCTCATCAACTTACATTTGGCGGGAGCGAATCGCATACCAAACATTCGTAGATTGCATCTCAAGGTGTTCAGAAGACTCTGCATTTTGCCAGCGTCACCTAGGAGAGAGGACTATATCATCTGGATATTCTAAGTCAACGAGATTATTCCCTGGTAATAAGTCAATCCCTGGGTCGCTGAAGTCAGCGGGATGTAATTCAACTAGTACATCTATGATGAAACTAAACAGAAATGGGGATAGTGGTGAGGACATCCCTGACGGACACCACTTGTTGTTATCACTACAGATGACAACTCGCCATAAGCTCTCGCTTAGCTGGCTGCATGAGTTCGGGTAGAGTGAATGGCTTGATCAGTGCAATGTATTTTCTCGTCATTCCCCATTACAGCCAGCATCGCCAGGTAGGTCAAGAAATGTAATGATTTTCGGATGTCGGTAAGTATGCCTATGTTCTAGAATCTGTCGAAGGGTGAAGATATGATCAATAGACCCTCTTTCTGGTCTAAAGCCTGCCTGGTTCTCTCGTGTTTATTCCTCCTAAGCATCGCTTAGTCTACGCATGATTATTGAGTCTAGAACTTCAGATACTATATTAGTCAAGCTAATTCACCTGTGATTATCACAGGAAGACTTGTCTCCCTTCATGTATATCATATCATCTGCACACTCCAAGTCAACGAGATTATTCCCTGATGGTAACAAGTCAATCCTTGAGTCTCTGAAGTGAGTTGGGGGTGGGGATTTAGGTGTATTGAGGGCGAATAAACTACCTGTTTGCAATAGCTCGATACTATTTTAAGTGGGATTGATGTTCACTTTTATCCGAGAAACAACAACACTGGAGTCTGCTAGTCAAAGTTCTTAAGTAGCTCAATTTTTGTTTGTTTCTTTGTTTGTTACAATTTCAGTTATCCTCTCGTAACTAATATTAAACATCTTATTTTCAGTCTTCTACAATTGTTAATCAAACGTCATAATAAAACTGTTGATATCCTACGTAAAATGTCCGATGATCATCAATCACAAACGGTTGGTGAAGTAACAAAATTGTTGAGTAATACATCGATTAACTCATCTTCTGCTACAGAAGAGGAAACGGTATGTGTGTCTAATTTGTTGTTGTTTTGCTTTTTTGGCCTATTGTAACGTCATCCAGTATGTGTGTAACTCATTCGCTCAAAGACATCATGAGATACTGTGAACTAGTTGAACTTTCATCTTTTCTTTTCTCCTATATTGGCAATCTCTTATATTACCCCGTTAGTTTCCAGGAGACTGAGTGTGTGGTCGCATAGTCATTCAATGATTGATCCAAACACCGGGAGAAGGAGAATTCGGATGATTTTGAATTGATTCGACTCCTCTTTCTCTCAGCTGCTTCCTGGAGAAAGACCTTTCGATCTCGAGTATGCAGACGATACTGTCTTTATGTGTGATAGACATGCAGGCTGCCAAAATCGCACTCATCCAGTTGATGATCAGTGTATAAGTGCAAGGTAGTGTTGCAAGATTGGCATGCACTCATGCTTGCAGGTGAAGTTGTCGATAAGTTCGTGTATTTGGGTGATTGTGTGAGTGCTGGTGGAAGTGTGTGATGAACGGACACGATTTTTAACCGTATCATGCAAGCTAGGGTGGTATAGGCTGATTTGAGCTGTCTTTGGCTGTGTCGCGACATTATTGTGGCTGTCGTGGGTAGAGTTGCGCGTTGTCTTGTTCTACACTTGTGAGACCTGGACACTTCATACTGAGGATGTGAGGTTACTGCGCGTATTCCATTACCCGCCACATTCGGCGGTATCAGCGTGTGAATAATTCTGGGGTCCGACGGCGTGTGTTTGAACACAGTGGTGATCGCCATTCATTGAGTATATTCGTGATCTGGAAACTCCGACTTCGGTGGCTTGGACATGCGCTAGGAATATCAGGCTAAAGGCTTCCGTATCGGTCTATGTTCGCTAGCCCTGGGACTGAATAGGAAATGGTGGATAGGTGGTCAGTCTGTGATGTGGCGTCGTGCGATAAAGGATATTTGTTTTAGGCTTGCACTGTTTGATGCATCACAACTCCCTGATTGGAGTCTGAGAGGTAGTTCAAATCGATGGCTCGAAACGTTACCAGCTATGGCCAAGAATCGCAAGCAGTGACGAACATACTACAACTTCTTTCTTTCTTCCCTTTCTTATAATAATTGAAGACTGTTACTTGGTCTTGTTGAATATAACAACATTTCGCTCCCAGATGAAATCCTTTATGCATTCTCTAACGTTTATTTTTTCCCTTCATATGTTGTGGTTTTATTATTAGCGGTCCGCTCCGTCCTCCTTTATGGCTGTGAGACATGGCCATTGAGAGCAGAAGACATAAAAAGATTAGCTGTCTTCGATCATAGGCGTCTGCGTTCTATCTATCTATCTCCCGCGTGAAGTGGTATAATAAGCTGAGCAATATTGAAGTTAGGCGTCGAGTGCTTGGTAAGGAGGAGGAATCATTCAACGAGACTGTCAAGTTACTTCGATTGGGTTAAATGGTTAGGACATGTGTTACGCATCAATGCCTAGTCATCGATCGCCTTCCTCGACGGGCAATGTTAGCTGATATAGGGTCGGGCTGGAAAAGAGCTAGGGGCGGTCAAACCAAACCATGCCTTCACCAGTCAATGAAATCCACAGGGAGGTGTAGACTAGCTTCCTGGTTGGGGTCTTCGGGACGGTAAAAACCAATGGTTAGAAACAATTGGTGACATGGCTCAAAATCGTTCTAAATGGCTGGCGAAGATGCATCCATTCCTTGTGACTTATGATTTCCAATGAAACTGTTTTGTTCTTCGCTACTACTATACATTTGTCTCACACCTCTGTTTACTATCTCTATTATTCATTTCTCCTACTTTCTTCTGTTGTTTTGTGTGCTCCAAGGAGGGAGTGTGGCGACTTGAACTGCTGCACATATGTGCAAAGTTCTATGTCGAAAAACCGACCGACCGATTAGCATTGTGTAGCGCATCATCTTAGTGCCATATTGTACTCTATCTCTCTCTCTCCGCCTCTCAGTTGGGTCGATTCGGGTACACACTGGTGATAAGGGAAGGAAACAGCCATCTGGTTGTTGGCTTACTTCGATAATGATCTATTTGGCTAGCAAGCACTACTGGTTGTCTTATAAAGGATGTTCAACCAGTGATATCTGTATATCATTATAAGACTATTTTGTTAGCTCTCTTGGACACCGTTTTTTTATATTGTTGAGCAGATTAAATATTGTGATTTAAATAACTTTAGTTTCGAAAGTAAACCGTTATGGAATTTCCACTATACGAAGCTGATTCAGTATTTGCAATATAGAAAAAAAACCCATTAAGACATTTTTTTAGAGAGCAAAAGGATTGAGCTCAGAAATATTTACTTTTCAATTAGATTCTCATCTCACGCTAGCTCTACACTCTAATATTAATATACACGTATAGCATTTTCAATACAATACATTACAATACACACTAATTTACCAATCATAAAGTGGCACTGTGATGTTTGTTTGTTAACAATAATTAATCAATATCAACATGTCATGGGGCTTGATTGATAGTAACCAAGATAGAGAATTCAAAGAATTTTAGGGTAGAAATAATTACAACAAGTGGATTGTATAATGCAAAATTTTGAAAAAAATGAAGATTACTTGCGGAATAAGCGAGTGCTCAAGTGTATTTCGCAACAGGCTGTTAAGAAAAGATCAATCGATCAATCTGGACAATGATAACTTGTAATTGAAGATGAAGTAATCATAAGAATGAAATAAACTTATTATTATTTTTATTGTTCCCTTGGGTTCCTAGTGGAACATAGGGCTTCACCTACACGTCTCCACTTGCTTCTCTCTTCTGCTGTACTTTTCACTTGCATCCATGTTACTCCATACTGTTTCAACTCCTCTTCACACGATCTCCTCCATGTCACCCTAGCACCGACGACCCACTCGCCGCTTCCCTTTCGAGTGCCACTCGAGCACTGGCCTGATGCGCGATGTCACCCAGCGGCCTCCTCAGCCAGTGAGTGTCCAATCCATCTCCACTTTCTCCTGCATATTTGTTGCTTGGTGATTGGTTCTTGTTTTGTTTGTTCCCATAGTTTCTTGTTGGTGATTCTATCCGGCCATCTGATCTTGAGTAAAGAGCAAAGATAGTTGTTGATAAATGTCTGCAACAGGCTGTTGGAAATATTCTTTGTGACACACTGGCCAAGTCTCTGATCCATCCGTAAAGAAGAACTGACTGACTTGACGTCGTTTGTATTGAAAATCCGAATCACTTTGTTGTTGATGCAGGCTGAGTGACAGCGGAAGATTTCCAGATTGGTTGTTTCAGGTTGATGAATGTGTTTCTCGCCTTCCCGATTCTCGCTCGATTTGACATCCTCGTCCGTTCCTCCTGTAGTTGAGACAATGCTCCCTAGATCAGTGAGTGAATGAAGTAACCTCTTTCAAATCCCTGCCGTTGTTGGTGATTGGCGCTGGATGTTGCTGTTTTTGTTGTTGTTGGTTGGTTGTATTCATAACCTCCGCCTTGTCTATGTTCACCTGGAGTGAGTCCTGTGTTTGCTGCCAGCCTCTTCGACCAGTTTGTCGGTTTTCGCTTGTAAGTCTTCGATTTTGTGTGACATCAAACATAAATCATTGGGGAAATCCAGGTCTTCTAGGTTCTTCACGTTGGTCCAGGATATCCCTGTTTTCTCGTATCCCACTGTCTGACGCATAATCCAGTCCACCACAATCATAAGAATGAAATAAACCGGAGAATTATAATCTTTAAAGATTCAGGGGCGAAGTAGTCCGGTTCATACATTCATGTATCGATGTCCAAGGTAAGGAAAGTGGCTGTAAAAATTTCTTCTGATCACACAGATTTGGCTTCTTCAGGAGGACTCCTACGACTTTGGCTGTTGCATGTAGAAGACGAACAGGTAAAGCTAAAATTAAGATTAGTAGGAATGTGATAAATAATTTTAAATGCTTTATTAGCACCAACTTTATGCTCTCTATCTACTGACTGTACTAAAACAGAGTTACGAATAGATCTTGTTTGTCGTTTGCTTAACCATGCTGGATGATGTTCAGAAATACGATGATGAACTTGCCTAATTGTACGTCCAATATGTTTTACTACTTCACCCAAGTAGCTAGTCTGAGCTGACGTTGTTTGAAGTGCTTCCACTCTCTGAACTTAGTTATAACCGTGTACCCTGTTGATTACCTCAATTTCAAGTGAGATAAACAACCTCCCAATCTGCTTTTTCAGCATTAGAGGTTGTTGTGAGTAGCTTGCAACTGGTCACATCAATTGTTTGAGAAATATTTGAGAAAACATTAATATAACTGTATATCAATGAATCAGGTATAAGCATTGAACTGAGTGAGCAGAATTTTTAAGATTTTCGTTTAAACTCTATCAATTTGAATAGATACTTTTATGTATTAGGTTATTATTATTGTTTATCATTATTTTTCTCTTGGGCTCTTCAAGTGCAACATTTATGGCTTCAATAGCACTATCTCCACTTAGCCCTCTTCCCAGTGGTGCTCTGTAGCTCTGTAGTCTCAAAATTGTCCATCATATTCTCCTCTTCCAAGCACGAACCTCGAAGCGACTCCTAAAACTAGTCCTTTTCCATTGAAGTTTCACTTGGGCGATGACTTGCAGTGAGCACGACGTCATTCGACTGTTTCATCAGCGTATGTCTGACGCACCTGCATTTTCTTCTGCTTACTTGATTGGACACTAGTAACTTGTGTGACGTGTCAAGTCCTTTCTTTGGTGCAGACTGAATTCTATCAGTCAGGTTTGCAATGTGGCCACCATTCTATGTAGCTCGCCATCATGGTGCACATTGATTTGGTGATATAAGATAGTTGGAGGCAATCGGCCACAGGAAGCCTTGGTTGACCTAGGTTTCGTGCTAGTTGGCACTCACCAGTCAGCAATGCGTATTTGCAACCTTGAAGGTACTCATGTCCCTTCTGAGATCCGAAACCGCGTCACCTAGTGCAGTGCTGCAGTCAGAGACGTTACCACTGAGCTATTCGGGCTCGCGATTGACCTCCTGTAGCATGAAACCTAGGTCAAGCAAGGCTTCCTGTGGCTGATTGCCTCCAAGTATCTAATATCATCAAATCAATGTGCACCGTGATGGTGAGCTACCTAGAATGGTGGCTACATTGCGAACCTGACTGATAGAATTCAGTCTGCACCAAAGAAAGGACTAGACACGTCATACTATTTACTAGTGTCCAATGGAAATACCCACTACAGTCCTACAATGCTGGATTCGCCAATCAGTCCGTTTTTGCTGATACAACTTCCCAAACAGGCGAAGTGGTCAACATGTTCTATCACTTCACTCCCTATCACTAATCTAGGAGTTGACGTAGTCCAGTCCTGTAGCAGCATCTTACATTTTACAAGGGCGAATCGCTTCCCAAACATTCGTAGATCACAGCTCAAGGTGTTCAGAAGACTGCTCTATTTCAGTCAGCGTCTTCACCCACGTGGGAGGACTATATCATCTGGATATTCTAAGTCAACGAGATTATTCCCTGGTAACAAGTCAATCCCTGAGTCGCTGAAGTCAGCGGGATGTGATTCCACTAGTACATCTGTAATGAAACTAAACAGAAATGGGGATAGTGGTCAGGTCATCCATGACGGACACCACTAGCTGTCACCACTTCGGATGACAACTCGGCATAAGCCCTCACCTAGCTGACTGCATGAGTTCAGGTAGAGTGAGTGACTTGATCAGTGCAATGTATTTTCTTGGCATTCTCTTCACAGCCAAGCATCGCCAGAGTACCTCTCGGTCGACAGAATCGAATGGTGCCTTCAGGTAGGTCAAGAAATATTATGAACTGTCTTGTTGTCTACATGGAATGTTGCTGCTTTACAGGCAGAGATAGGATTGTTTTAAAGTTTGACCTTAATCTAACATTCAGTTAGTGAGAATCACTGGAAACTACCGGCGGATGGGGGTGTGGCGTCCTGGACAGCTGTTTCGTTTTGCATCATGGGACTTCTCAGTGCAACACATACCCATCTGCCCCCCTCCCGGGGTCGAACCTGAAATCTCCAGGTGCACAAATACGAACTCGTTCACCGTCGAGTCGTTTTTGGGATAGAATCAAATGGTTCATGAATTCCAACTTCTGTGTGACTTCGTGATATGCAGCGCCATCGCTAAGCTAGCTAGTCAGTCAGTGTCATCAGCGAGTATCTGCCCTCACAACCAACCGTCTTGTTGGACAATACTTGGCATGATTTCTCATTATAGAAATCCAGAAAAAAATTGCATCTCATAGTTGTTAGCCAATCGTTTTACTGAAATCATTCCTCAATTATTTTTACTTCTTCATATATTGAAATAACTTTAATTTCTCATTATCTTCCGCCTATATGTAACAAGGTACAAGAATTAGCCTTACTTGAAGAAGTGATTCGTATGCTGTTGGAAATTATCAATTCAATTATTACGCATACAATGATGACGAATACAGATTTATTATATTCCCTGTTGTATAAGAAGGATTCATTTGCTCCACTGCGTTCACATCCATCATTTCAGGTTAGAAAAGCTTCTTTTTTTCTTTTAAAAATATTTGAAATTTCAAGTTTGACCATGGATGATATTGTTGTCAGCTAGAGAGAACCACTAAAAACCAGCCACAGGGAGTACTGGACAGCTGTTTGGATGTCATCGGCAGTACGCGCTTACCACAGCGGGTTTGAACCCAGAACCTTCCGGTTACAAGGCCAGCGAGCTCGTAGACCATTCTTCATCAGCCACTCGGACCCAACCCGAGCCAATGAATTCCAATTTCTGCCAATGATTCATGACATAACGCGACCAACAGCCCCAACATCTTCGGATCGGGTCCCTGTGGCTTAGTTATTGATGTTTATTATTATTATTGTTTCCTTTAATTCCTAGAGGAACATAGGGCTTCAGCCGTGCGTCTCCATTGCGTTCGGTTCTCTACTAGAGTCTTCACCTGGCTCCAAGTCTGCCCACATGCTTTCATCTCCTCTTCACATCACCTCCTCCTGCATGTCACCCTTGCACTGACGACCAACTCGCCGCTTCCCTTTCGCGTCCCACTCGAGTGATGGCTTGTCTAGTGATGTCACTTAATGGTTTCCTCAGAGTATGGCCAGCCAATCCATCTCCATTTCTTCCTTCCTATTTGTTTCACAATCGGTTCCTGCTGTGTTGGTTCGCTCATTGCCAGAGATCTCTGTTGCTGATCTTTTCTGGCCGGCCATCTGATCTTGAGTGCTATTGAGCGAAGACAACTGTTAATGAAAGTTTGTAGTTTGTTTGAGATGCTCTTTATGACGCGCAGTGCAAGTCTCTGATCCGTATAGTGAGTAGCACTGACTTCACATTGGAGTTGAAAATCCGGATGTTATTTTTGACGGTGAGTGCTGTTGACCTCCACACAGACTTGAGAGTAGTGAAAGCTTGTCTTTCTTTCTCGATCCTCGCTTCGATATTCTCGTCAGTTCCGTCCGTCTGTAGTTGAAACGATGCTTCCCAGGTGGGTAAAGGAGGTTGTTTCTTTCAGGTTCCTGTCCTCATAACCAGGAGGAGGTCCTGGATTCAAACCACACTGGTGGATACTAACTGATGGAGAGTCCCAGGAAGGAGACAAAACTCTACCTACTATCATGGATGACCGACAAGAAGACTGGAATATCTGGACTTCTCGAAGATCAAGAATTCGATAGAATACACAAACAGCAACGACAGGACTTCAAGTGAACGTGGAGGAGATGGAGATGATGAAGATAACGAACCACCACCACCACCACCAAAAACAACAATGACAACCAGTAGGAATCTTTTACTATCAACAGGAGGAATTTGAAGGAGGCCGCCGCCACTTTCACTTATTTAGACAGCATGGTTTCAACTACAGGCGGTAGCACAGATGAAGATGTGAAATCATTGTGGAAACCTGCTGTACTACTCATCGTAGGAATTAAGATTGAGATTTTACAATACTCTACTGTCAAGTGAGTGATTCCATGGTTCAGGGAATTGTCACGTGCACATAGCATCACAAAAGGCCTTTCTTGTAGGCTTCAAACTTTTACCAACGGCTATCTTTGCTCCATACTTATGATCAGATGGCTGACCTGACAAATTAAACAACAATGAACTCTGTCAGTGTCAACCAATCAAAAACCTATCATTCAAAAAATTCGCCGAGGGAAATGTGAAGGTGCTTTTGGAGACACTCTGGAAGTACCGTTGATTGGCATCTCACAACCAAGCTGTCCAGTGGAGGCCGAATAGGAAGCGATGAGTTTGGGGTGGTTAGTCCGAGAGTAACATGGAGGTGATGAATAATAGTAATAACAATAATAATAACAAGCATAATCAGTTATCCCCGTATATTTTTATCCTTGTAAAGGTGAGTTGGGGAAGAGGGTTTATGCTATTAAATAGTTGAAGGCGATCGGTGGGAAGCCCTGAATCTAGCTTTCGTGCTAGTTGGCACTCACCACCAGTCAGTAAGGCGTATCTGCAACCCTGAAGGAAGGAATTCATGTCCCTTCTGAGACTTGATTGAACTCGCCTCACTCAGTGCTGCCCACAGTCAGAAACGTTACCAGTGAGCTATTCGGGCTGGCTCGCGATTGACCTCCTATAGCATTGTATTAGATATTTTTTTGATTAGACACTACTAGTCAGTAACTAGTGTGTGATGTGTCTAGTCCTCCTATCTTTGGTGCAGATTGAATTCTATCAGTCCTTCAGGGGTATGCAATGTGGCCACCACCATCCCCTAGGTGGCTCGGTATTTTATAGTTATTGTATCCTTTTTTTAAATATAATAATAATTTGCTTTATTCCAGAAACAGTACTAGTGGTACAGTGTGGAATTTTCAGCACATATCTACAATATTTCCATCTAATTTTATCCAACGTTTAAAAGGAATATTTCAAAAAAAATAAGTATAAAGATAACAACAGCGAAAAAAACACAAAAGAAAATTTTTAAAAAATGCAAAAAAATACCAAGAAGTAGAAAGGAAAATAAACAATATAATAAATAATATCTCAGTATTGGGTAGTGGAAGCTATGATATGATTATGCATGGTGACAGTAAAGCTATAGTCAAACAAGAAGTTATGAAATGATAATTAAGAATGTTTGTCGCCAAGATGATCAGTCAATTTGGTTGAAACAACTCTACACAATCATAAAATAACATTTCAGGGTTGGTCTGTTTCTTTTATCGTCAGGTCTAATGCGGTGTTTGTAGTGGTAATAGTGTGAGTAATCCTGAATAATACAAAATTTTGAGATGGTGATAATGGCGTTCACAACCAAGATTGTCAGTTTAATATTGCCGAAAAGTATAGAAAATAAGAAAAAACAACCATGAAACTAATAATTACATGATGGTTAATGACAGGACAATTTTGTAATACTCATAGTGCTAACAGAGTCGGAACCAGTGGATACACAATAGAAAGAAATATAGTAAAGTACAAAAAAGTAAGCCAATGTTAATAATTTAGGTAGCTAAGTATGTTTGAGAAGGAGTTCATTATAGAATACAAAATAAGAGAGAAATCAAAGAGCCTAAAATTATGATTATTAACAACAAAGCAAGTCATAGGTTTCGCGCTTAACATTGTCTCTGTCACTTAGAACACGGGCCAAGTGTGGTATCGTTGAGTTCCTGTACTTGGTTGTACGAGCATAGATTATTTTATACTGATTTCTAGTTCTACTTGATGAGATACAAGGCGAGAGTTGGGAATATAGAGGTTGTTGGGGGTGGGATAGTATGGTTTTAGACCATTTTTCGCAGGTATTCAGATGCCTGTTAACTAATGTAGTGACGAGCTGGCTGAGTTATACACCACTAGTCCTACTAACTACCTTCAACATTTTTCTCAGGATGGTATAGTCCTTTTACAGTAGCCCAGGAAAGACTAACGGGGAGCAGTAAAGTAGTTGTTGTAAGCAGTATATAATATGATCTCACTGTCGTTTCTGTTTTTTCTTCTTATTCTCTTTGTTTTCAGAGTGTACTCCAGAATATTGACATTGTTTTGACACATTTCTCCAAGAAAATTGAAGCTGAACTTGGTCCTCAACCAACTCAACCACAGGCTGTTATGCAAGTGATACAAAAGCATGCTAACAATACTCAAAGAAGTTGTAATTTAAAGGTAGGGATAGGTTCTGTATATTTACTTCTTGTAAGAAAAAAGGCCTATTTTTTGTCTAGCATTTTGTTTAACTTCTCTGCTCTTTTCTTTTAAATTAACGTATACACTTTTAGCACCGGTGGGTGGTTTAACGGTAGAATCGTCGCCAACCTCGGATGAGTTAAGAGTTCGATTCCCATCTGACCCAAACCTTCTCATCACATAAAGCAAGCCTGGAAAAGAAAAGAAGGAAAGTGGTGCTCGGTTATGAAGCCAGCAACCTCAATCTCCACAAAAACAAAACCATTACTACAGACCCTTCACTACAGACAAGCTTTCATTACTCTCAAGTCTGTGTGGAGGTCAACAGCACCACTCAGCATCAAAAATAAGATCCGGATTTTCAACTCCAATGTGAAGTCAGTGCTACTCACTATACGGATCAGAGACTTGGCACGTCACGAAGGCCACTTCGAACAAACTACACACCTTCATTAACAGCTGCCTTCTCTCAATACTACTTAAAGATCAGATAACCAGAAAAGATCAGCAATAGTGAGGGATCTCTGGGAACGAGCCAACCAGGAACCGATTGTGAAACAAATATGCAGGAAGAAATGGAGATGGATTGGCTGGCCATACTCTGAGGAAACCATCAAGTGACATCAGCCGCAATGCAGGCCATCACTCGAGTGGAACCCGAATGAGAGGCGGCGAGTTGGTCGTCAGTGTGAAGGTGGGGTGATTTGGAGGAGGTCATGTGAAGAGAAGATGAAAACGTGTGGGTAGACTTGGAGCCAGGTGAAGACTGTAGCAGAGAACCGAACTCAATGGAGACGCACGGCTGAAGCTCGATGTTCGTCTGGGAATTAAAGGAAATAATAATAATAACTACAGAAACGCCACAACTTGGAGCCTTAAATTCCACTCGAAATGCAGGAAATGAAAAGAAAATGCAATGTTAACTATGAGAGGGGCATTTATCTACGAGCGTTTTTTGTGTGTTGTTGACATCATATCTGAAGTTGAATAGCACTGCGTTATTTCTCCGCATTAGCTAGACACGTATCGAATGTCATAAGTAAAACTGGAAATTAGTCCAAAATTTTATATACGGCATGCATTCCCCCCCCCCCAAGCCCCCCGCCCCCCACCGGCGCACAAACACAAACTCCGACCAAAGTACACCATCATATTTTATCGCAGCATGACATGAAGATGAGAGGGATTATGTCATCCTACAGCTAAACGCTTCAAAATATCCACCAATGCTCGGTCAATTAGTTTGGTTTATGTGATTCCCATCAAATACTCTTCGTCACCATTATGCATAAGATTTTATTTTGATAAATCACACAGTTGTGTTGTACGGTAATATTTACTGATGACTACGTTTCGAGCACAAACTATTGCCACTCATAATCATCATATCAAGGCACTGACTCACACAACTTTTTACTTCATTTAATAATAATAATCATAGCTTTTTTCCAAACAGTATTTGTGGTACAGGTATGGAATTTTCAGCGTGCATTACAATATTGCATCTAATTACCTCATAAATTTTATAAGATTTTAAAAATAAAATGCAATAACAATAAAAAGACAAAAACGAGAAATAAAAGAAGAAAAGGAACAGCATTGCATTCACATATTTAAACAATGCACCACAGGATATGAAATATAAAATTAGTGTGTAACAGAATATGTGAGCAACAATATAATAGTAACAAAGAAAGGAGAACAAAAGCTAATGGAGACTATTTGTTAGAGTTCCTCAGTAAGTTGATCGTGTCATGCCTAACAGTTTTCTCATCACATAACAGCTGTGCCAGATAAGGTATTGTGGAGTTTTTGTACTTGGTAGTCCTGGCATATAGCCTCCTATAGCTGCTTCTAGTTCTACCGGATGAAATGCAAGGAGAGAGCTGCGTATAGAGAGGGTGTTCGGGGTCTGACAATATAGAATTCGCTAGTTTCTTACATGACATTATATGTCTATCCACAGTGGTGTTAACCAGTTGGTTTAACGATATCCCACTTGCCCTACTAACAGCTTTTAGTGCCCTACGCAGCAAAGCAAAATCTTTCTTAAGTAGTTCAGTAAAGATTAATGGGGAACAGTAAAGAGTGATGGTTAGAATACAAGAATTGACAAACTGAGAAAGCAAAGACTGCTGTAGTTTCAACCTCTATGCCGTCAATGATAGTGGGACCATGTGAGCTAGCTAGTTGTTGTAGGTCAAGTTTTCGTCTGAAATTGAAATTTACTACCTGACATTTAGACGGATTTAGCTTAAGACCGTTTGAAGGGGACCACTGACTAGTTTCTGACAAAAACTTATTTAATTTGCAGCAATCTGACTGAGAGTTGACAGGCATGTAGACAGAGAGGTCATCAGCATACTTGACAAAAGTGGCTACATCAGAATGGGGCAAGTCATGTAAGAAAAAAGAAAACAAAAAAGGAGAAATATGTACATGAGTAAAAATTCATTAGACATTTGAATCAATTTAGGATAATGTACTTTCAGAAATTATAATATGGGTGTTATCAATCAAATACAATCAGATGGGAAATAAGACGAGTGTTTTTATAGTCATAATAAGTTACTTTTTAGAAATATTTTGATACTCTTGAATTGAAATAGAATTTTAAGATTATTTATTATCCTCCTCTGATCTGACTAGTGGTATTAATATCTTCTATATTCCTGGTATTTGCATTGAGTCATTTCTGTTGCATGTGTTGGGTGTAGACTCAATGAATCAGGAAGGATTCAGTAATCAATCTGTCTCTATCTCCACCTACCTATATTAGTTTATAATGTTGACTCTGTCTCACCCAGCCTATTATGTGGTTGTGTGTTAATGAATGCAGTACAATTGCTTGTTGTTGTTTTTTAAATTACTTATCTTCGCGGGTGGGATCAATCTTTCTGCATTTAGCTAAATTCTGATGTTCTGATAATCTCACTACTCCTCCTGAACTACTAGTTGGACTCACCTATGTAGTTGACTTAACTGACTCACAGTGATTACAAGGTATTTTGTAAATTATGTTATTTTTTCTCTTTGGGTCATCCGACAGGGTCCTTTAGCTTACAGAGCTTGTCCTACCTGAGTGAGTTTGTAGGTTTAAATTCCTTGACCCTAATTCCCGCTTTAATAAGAATCCTACTAAGTAGGGTCTCAGATATCTCCTCCTTATATGGTATAACAGTAGATGCCTTATATTCTCTCTTATTTATGTTATGATTATCAGTTTCACCATTATTTTGATTTCGCTTTTGACCTTTTCTGATCTTCCCGGTGGATTTTATAGGATAGTTATTTAACACTAACTAGTTATTCTTCTATCTGTTTCATTTCATCATATAGGTTTTTTGTTGTACTACTTGATGCTATTGCACAAATGTCTAGTCATCAATTTAACTTATGTATCTAAAGTAAAAAGTTGTGTAAATAGTACCTTGATATGATTATGAGCAGTAATAATCTGTGCTCGAAACGTGGTCATCATTTAATATTACTGTATAACACCACTGTGATTAATCAAAATAAAATCTTACCTATAATAGACTTATACTCTACCACAATGCCCAAGTTTTATCCATATATACTCTTGGTGTATTGCAAAATACCATACCATACTCATCATGAGATTGGAAAGTGATTTTTGTTTAGCGTACAAGTTTCCAGACTATTATGCGAACCAAGTGTTGTGCTGAGTTTTGTGTGTGTGTGTGTGTGTTGGTTAACTTTGTCTGTCTGACTGGAGAAAATAGCTGTAGAGGAGGAGGTGGTCAATTTTTTTCTTACAGTTTACGACTATTTTGGATGTAGGTGCTGTTCTCTAAGCTGGAGACAGTTGATCTTTGAAGCTGTCACTGACACTGACCCTCTAGACAACATCTCTACAGTATTTATTAACTAACTTGCGTTGCTTCACAGTGATCGGACAGTGTGCAAACTTACATGGTGCTGCTGGGGTCGGTCATCTAAGAGTCCTGGGTTCGATACCTGGCTGAAAGGAGATGATGATGGCGGCGGGGGGGGGAGGCGATAGGTACCACTGAAAGTAGACTGTTTTGTAAACTAAATGTTTTCTCATACATTTGTTCCCCTTAATTAATTTGAACAAGGCAGTTTTAGCAGAATAAAATGGTACCATCATTTTTTATTTGGTCGCCTTCTATTCAGCTGCTTATAGGGCAAAAACATTATTAAATATATCTACAAAAACAATTTGACATACTTGCACAGAGTTCACTTTTAAATAAAAATCAATCGATCACTATACACATAAACTAATAATATATATATATATATATATATATATATATATATATATATATATATATATATATGTAATATTGAACACAATTCCGAACAATAATAATCATACACAATGAAAACTTTTCAGTATCTCGCGTTGGGATGATAAATATCCAGTTACCACGGCAAAGAAAGACTGATAACCGCTTCTTTCTGAACGCACAAATCAGGTTTTAGGCGCTTGATGGAAATGGCTTCAGCAAACTTAAGGAGAATTGAGCTCTTTTGCTTATTGATAATTTTGAACGACTTTTCGACGTCCACCTGATGATCTGTGTCGAGGAGATGCCTGGCGATGGCACTGTTTAAAGCATTTGTTCCCTTTAGACGTAAGCTTTTTGGTACATGTTCAGAAAATCGTAGATATGCTCCCGCAGATACATGTAAATTTGTATATACAGTTGGAGTTAACATGAGAAGGATATCTATCGATTTTTGATTGCACCAAAGAGCAAGTTGTTCGATAGACAGGGACGAGCTTAGCTGCAGGATAGGCTATGGCTAGTGATGTACTCAGCCTTCTGTTGACCATGGCTGCAAAGTTTTCTACTATTTTACAACTTCGCAGATACACACACAAGCACACTGATATTATTTGTCTCACTTCCTTCTAATTTTTTTATTTAAAATTCTATTTCTGTTATTCTCACTGTCTTGTGTTCTGTGTGATAGAAATTTCCAGA